TTTTCCTTGAGATATTTGGAAGATAATATTGAAGTAAAAATATAATTATTCTTAATGATTAAGAATTTTACTTATACTCAAGTCGTTCTATTATAAACTCAAAAATACGAACACATAATAATTATGTTGAATAATTTTAAAGAATAGTTCATTTGAAGAATTCGCGAAGGAACTTTTAGTTTTTTTCACAATAAGAATAGTAAATTAGAAATAGTTGAAAACTATAATTAGAAATAAAGAATTTGTTTAATTATTACTTTTTTTTTAACCCACAAAAAAATCTCTATGTTATTAGAGTTTTTAAGATGGTGGGCGATGAAGGATTCGAACCTACGACCCCCTCGGTGTAAACGAGATGCTCTCGGCCAGCTGAGCTAATCGCCCTCAGATTATTCGTATTATTTATTAGTATTCATAACTTAATTAATATTGGTAGCCGTACGGGGAGTCGAACCCCGCTTGCAGGATTGAAAGTCCCGAGTCCTAACCGATAGACGATACGGCCATAGATGGCATAGACGGATTTACCAAAAATTAAATTTCTACAGATATGAACACAGTGATCTCACTATTAATAATCTAAGGAAGAATATCAAGAAAGAATTTACACTTTTTTACACTGATTTTTTTGACAAATAGAAGTCATATCCGTATAGTGAAATTGCTCTCACTATTTTGACAGTGCCTCCTGTCTGTTTCACTGGTTTAACTTGTGAAATTATGGTCATATAATCTCTTATTGTAGTTCTTTCATCTGCGCAAGCAGAAATAATAAAAACAAAAAATCCTAGCTATTGAGCCGGATCTTTATATGGCAACAAAGGTGGTATAGCAAAATATCGAACATATGTGATCTCCTTATCTACACTGTTTGATATTATGATAGTGATCGGGGTTAAACTTTCAAGAGCAATTTTGAAGTTTATTGCTATCCAATCTGCTCCTTCCTCTCGAGGCGGGAGTTTTTTGTAATCTTAGATAGTTATTTGAGGCTTATGGATTGATTTTTTGGAGATAATGAATAATCAGATTATAGATTATTTATAAACATTATATTTTGTAATGAATGGAGCGAGTATTGAGATATCATTGGAGGAAATGATTCAGTGATTAACCTGAGTTCGAGAAAATAAACATTCTCATAGTAACGATAAGTCGAGAACTGATAGTTTGCAGTTGGAGTTAATAGATTTTTTTGAGGCGGAGGATGAAGATGGTTTATCAGAGCAGATTATGCGAAATATAAAGTTTTCTTTTGCTCCAAAATTTAATGAACTATATAAAAATGAATATATTGAGTTTATGAAAACATGAATATTTAGGAATATGGGATTAAAGAAAGATGATTTCTTTAGAGTATTAGTGCAAGCTTGATTTCCAGAATCTATGCAATTAAGAAAAATTACTTTTCCTTCAGAATGAGTTTCTGATTATGAAATTAATGTTGGAGAATCTCAATGATAGTGGAGGAATTGCAAGAATTGGGTATTATATTTCGATTTTCACACTCAAACTTTCTTGCCTTAATCTATCTCCGTGACAAAGATCACATGGTTTTTTACCAAATAGCGATTGGAATTCTGTACCTAAAATTCATTTATTATATTGATTCGTGAGCATATCTACCAAACCATTATAGAAGAAATTATGTCGTTTGCCCATTGAACCGATTTTTATAAGTTCTTTTTCTTTTTCTCCGTTTAGAATGATGTCTCTAAATCGATCGGGGAGAGTGTGCCGGACTTTGGTGTGATCTATATCGTACTTTGCTGCAAATTTAGCCAAAATCTGCTGTCCAAGCGTGTTATTCTGTCGTGGTATGATGGATTTTAGATATGGTTGGTTGGGGTCTAGAACCTGTTCTATTTGGAGATCTAATACTTCTCCGAGCCCATGACAAGATGGACAAGCTCATTCTGATCTGTTAGCCGAGAAGTGTTGCGTTGTGAATTCTGGGTAGGTGATATTACACTTGGGACAGAAAACCTTATCTGTAAACCATTGTATGCTTGCTTTGCTGTCACGCACATCCTTGCCTACTGACATGCTTATACTATCATCGATAGATTCATCAGATCATGCATAATATAATCAAAATTTGTTATGTTCATTAAGCATTTTTACGATATCTTCTTTCAGCCTATCCATATTCTCTTCATTTAAAGTTATTCTATCGAATATTCCGAATACAGTGAGTGGATAAAACTTATCTGGGATATTTGGTGATTCAAGGTAGAAGTATTCTACACACTGTGATTTCTCGTCGTTATCGAATAGTACGAGAAACCTAGTAAATCCATCTGATTTATCCATTTTATTTCTGTTTCTTTTGATCCACTTCATAAATGAGACAGAATCTTTGAAGCTTTCCACTGCAGATATGATGTATATTTTGTTTTCTGAGAAATGAGCAATAATCTGTTCGATAATACTATCTACTGATTGGGCTTTAATCTCATCGCCACAGCTATAACAGTATGCTGTCCCTAACTTTGCGAATAATAACCTTAGATAATCGTCTATTTCTGTAAGTGTTCCTACGGTGGATCTAATATTTGCCACTCTTTTGTTTTGCTCTATGGCAATCGCTGGACTCAATCCAGATGAATATTCAATATCTGGCTTTTCACCAAGATTAAAAAACTGTCTCAGGTAGCTAGAAAGTGACTCAATGTAACGAAACTGACCTTCTTTGTAGATAGTATCAAATGCTAACGATGATTTGCCCGATCCAGAAACTCCTGTGATAGTGATTATCTTATTTTTGGGTATAGTAACATCGATGTTTTTCAGATTATTCGTATTTACACCTTTAAGAACTATTTGTTCAGAAAAAGAATGAATAATCTGATGCTCTAAGTTACTATGAGATTTGGTTTTTCAACGATTAATGGGCATGAATAGTGGGTTATTGTAAAACTCCTAATATGTAGGGTTCTGAATTGGGATTGCAAGATAAAGTAGAAAAGTTTCTAATTTATATTTAATAAAAATATAATATTCCAATTATCCAAATAGCTGTAATCCCATATACATAGAGTGAAAAAGGTTGTTTGATGGTTTTATGTCTCCAGAGTATGGATCAGATTATTCATCATACTCATCATCATAAGGCGCAAGTAATAAGAAGATGTTTTTCACTGATACGAAAATGTCCACTAAATGCCTTTCGCTTATCCACTCATCGGATGATGAAACAATAGCAGTTTATGAGGATGAGGTAGTAGTGGAAAAAGTTCATTGTTGATCTAGAAGTAAGTTTAAAATTGCCTTTTTGCTTCATATCAATATTCACTCTCAGTCAGATTTGAGATAGAGTTTATCGGTAAGGGGGTTGATATCTAATAACTCAAGTAAATCATTTCTTAAAAGTATTCTGAAAGTATTATCTAATTTTATTTCAAAAGTAACAGAATCCGCTCAAACTGGTAATTCTCTATAGATCTTTATATACATGTCGTTAGCGTCTTTTGAGCTATATAATTGTCAGTATGATGACTCTCATTCGTTTCATAACAGGATATTTTGTAATGCAATAGGTATTCTTACGCGATTTTTATTATCAAAACTGCAAGATTTTAATACAGGAGGGGTTTGATTACTAAGTGATGAATTCATTATGTCGATTAAACTTAAAATAATTATATATATTGACTTATATAAGTATAAATCTAATTCAAGCCTAAGATTTTATTGGCCTTGCGATATTGTTCTTGATACCAGAATAGATATCATTATACTATCATTGCTGTGGTACTTTGGCAGAGTGGTCCAATGCAGGAGCCTGCAAAGCTTTACAACCATGGGTTCGAATCCCATAGGTACCTCCAGTTGACTTTTTGAATAATGAGATAATCTGAATCTATCCTTGTGATAGGTTTTTTTGTATAACGAATGGAACACCTTCAAAAATACTATTGGGTGTGAATCTGATAAAAATCTTATTAATTCTGATTATTATTCTAATTAAAAATATCAATATTACAAAATATCAATTGACAAGATAAGAATTATAATTATTAGACTATCGTTGCATTCCTGCAACCTAATATTAACAGTGGGAATCTCGCCACAGAAATAAGTGAGAAATATCAAAAAATTTGGAAATCAATGTATTTATAGCTTCATTAGCTATCGAACCCTCTTTTGATTAGTGGGATAAGCTCGACAACCTTACAAAAACAGGCTTACTCTATTATAAGGGACAACAAGTTTGTTTTTCTCTTGTTATGGAGTCATATATTATATTAGAGTATGGGGGAAAAAGAGAGCTTGTGCTGTATGGTGATCTGTATAATCATATCACGAGAAAAGTTGCATTGGATGACGATAGTGGTGATCCCATCTCAATCAAGGAATTTATGATTCAGATGAACCGTTCATATCCCAAAGAGGGTGAGGGTGGATTGATTCAGTTTGTCGAGAGATTCCTAAAGGCAACATTCTTCCGTCTAAATGGAAAGAGAGTGCTAAGAGTCATGGCAAGCGATAGTAACTTACTCATTCAGCTGGAAGGTGAGGAAATTAAATTTTGGACTTATAACAAGCTAGCTGAATTTCTAAAGGGCTAGTATTATTCCACAAGTAAATTAAAAAAAGCAACTTAGGGGTTTAAACCTGAGTTGCTTTTCTCTATATAAAATTATTTAACTTATAATCTCCCCAAAAAGTTTAAAAGCCTCTGCTCACGTTATCTGTACTTGTACGAATGATCAGATAAGCTGATTAGTATTTTCTTTTCCTGGAGACGTTATAATGATGTTTTTCATATTATCGGTGTATCAGAAATACTGTCCATTTTTGAGTTTTCTGGTGATAATTACTTCTTTTGTTGTTCAGATCTCTTTCTGATTATTGTTTATCGAAATAGATCTCACTAGTGTATTTAATCTTTCCCATCTTTCTTTCTTTATAGACTTGGGTATGTTATCGATGTATTTCTTAGCTCAGATGGTTCATGGGCGAGGGGAATATATTCCAATATAAATCGTGTCAAAACCTGCGTATTCAGTGAGTTTAATGCTTTCCAGGAACTCTTCTTCTGTTTCATCAGGATGACCAACGATAATATCTGTAGTGATGCTTATTTTTCTCGATAGTGATTTGATATTATCGACAAATCATTTGTATTGTTCAGCAGTATATCCACGAAACATTCTACGTAACATAGCCGTGGAACCAGATTGTAGGGGCATATGTATGTGTGGACACATTTTGGGATGATGCTCATGGAGTTGTAGTAACTCATCTGGGAAAAATGTCGGGTAGGGTGATGTATACCTTAACCGCTTTAGTTTTGGATACTCTAAAATTCTTTTGCAGATCTCTAAAAACTGTGGGTGCTTGTTCACAATCTGCCCAAGGAGCACGATTTCCTCAGCTCATTCATCTAGATGATGTTCGACCTCTTGTAGTATCTCTTCGATGCTACGATTCTTTTCCATACCTCTAGAATAGGGAACGATGCAATAACTACAGAATTGGGAACATCATGTGGAAACTGGTACGTAGGCAGTTTTTGTGTTTTCAGCAAAGAGCTGGTTCGCGTTGTGAGGTATTATGGCGTTATATTCGTTTGTTAATTCTGAATCTACGGATACATTATAACCGAGCTTACTTGCTAGTAAGGGCAAAAATCCAGTATCGTCTATTCTAAAAAATAGCTCAATATTCTGAAATTGTTGGTTAAGGGTGGATCGTAGGGGACTAAAGGCGTGATTTATATAAACTACGTTTGTAAGATCTATTTTTTGTTTGAGGTCATCTTCGAATGCATTGGTCCGTCAGATTATTTCAGGTTCTGTGGTTTTTACTGTACCTATAAAATTACCTAAGTGGATTTTGCTAGATTTGCCTTTTGCTTTTGCAACTTTGTTATTTTTTAGGTAATGTTGGATCATGCAACCAGTCATTCGGACTTTTTGATCAGGTCTTATTTCGAGCATTTTTCAGGTTATTTTATCTTCAGATTTTTGTCTAACAGAACATGTATCAAAAATAATCAGATCTGCTTCTTCTATTTCAGAAGTATAATGCATTCCTGAATTTGTAAGAACCGCCTTGATTCTCGCGCTATCAGCATAATTCATCTGACAGCCATAGATGAGGATGTGAAATTTTGTGACAACTTCATTCATGAGATTTGAATTTTAATTAATTCTCATTAAATGCAGATAGTAACTGTTCCTTTGCGGATATATATCATCATCTGATAATTAGTGTTCTTTTAATATCAAAAATTGATAATTTTTTTATATCATGAGATTCATTAAATATTGTACGTAATTCTTGGAAAGTAGAATCAGTGAAAACTCAGACTTTGTGAAAAGAGAATTGTTCTCAGTGTATTGCTTTAAGTACTACATCTTCTGTGTAATGTTCGATTGGGTGACCAATTAGTTCTAATTTACTATTCCCTCATTGTTTGATATATATGTCGTATAATTTATTGTGATTATTTGTATTCATCTTGTACTGTTATATAATAAATTTCAGATTATACATTCTTTCTGTTTATACATCTAGGTCTTTTACTGATTTTGCATGACTAAGGATGAAGTGTTTTCTGGATTCTGTATCTTCGCCCATAAGGATTCTAAAGAGTTTGTCGGCTTCTTCTGCATCCTCTATTCTAACTTGTTTAATAGATCTTGTCTCTGGTTTCATTGTAGTTTCACCAAGTTGGTCATAGTTCATTTCTCCAAGACCCTTATATCTTTGCACGTCTCGTTTCCCATCAAAACCATTTTCTAAAGCCAATTCTTCTAAAGACTTATTAGCTGCGTCATATATGTATACATGCTTTTTACCGTTGTAGATTTTGTATAATGGAGGTACTGCGATATATACATGTCATTCGTCGATAAGAGGCCTCATATAACGATAGAAGAAAGTAAGTATAAGTACGCGGATATGTGATCCATCTACATCGGCATCAGTCATTATCACCACTTTACCGTATCTGAGCTTGGTCATATCTATTCAGTCTTTTATTCCAATTCATATGGAAAGAATAAGGGATTTTACTTCGTTATTAGCAAGTATCGCTTGGATATGAGCTCTTTCGGTATTAAGAATCTTACCCTTAAGAGGCAAAATAGCCTGAAAATGTGCGTCTCTACCTTGTTTCGCGGTTCCTCATGCAGAATCACCCTCGATAATAAATAATTCAGCAGCTAATCTATTTTTTGTGTTACAATCTGTGAGTTTACCAGGGAGGACTCAGGCAGTTAGTACTGATTTTCTAAGTACAGTTTCTCTAGCGAGTTTGGCTGCTAATCTAGCTTTTGCAGAGAGTTGTATTTTTTCTAATAGTTTATCGAATTCTATTTCATTTTCCTTGAAGTATTTCATTAAAGTTTCGTGAGTAAGAGCTTCCACCTCTTTACGTACATAACTATTTCCCAATCTTCATTTGGTTTGTCATTCGAATTCTGGATTCGGTACTTTTACTGTTACGATAGCGTAGAGTCCATCAGAGATATCAGATGCTTGAAAATCTCAGATTTTGTTATCAGCTTTTCCTCTCACTTTGCAGGTTTCATTTATGGTTTTTAATAATCCGTCTTTGAATCCCATTAGGTGAGAACCGCCGTCTGGAGTATTGATGTTATTTACGAAAGATAGAATGTTGCTGTTCGTGCTGTCGATATAATTAAATACGATATCTACTGCTAGATTATCATTTTCTGAACCTAGTCTTGCTGGTGTTATCACAGTTTTTTGATCCATGGTCATAACATTAATCCATGTTCCAATTCATCATTCAAAATAGAATCTTTCTTTCTTATCACTTGCTTCATCGATAACAGTGAATGCTACTCCTGGTGTAAGGTAAGCGGTTTGTCTATATTTGGTGAAAACAGTATGTGAGTTATACTTCGTAGTTTCGAAAATCAATGGATCAGCAAGAAATCTTACCGTAGTTCCTGTCTTATCGCTTTCTCAGATTATTTCTAATTTGCCTTGTGGTACTCATCTTTCAAATGCAATAAAATGTAATGAACCATCTCTATGTACGAATACTTCGCAACGTTCAGATAATGCATTTACCACACTTGCTCCTACTCAGTGAAGACCTCCAGAGATTTTGTATGAAGATTTGTCGAATTTTCCACCCGCATGTAAAACTGTATAAACTGTTTCTACTGCAGATTTACCGGTTTTGGGGTGAATCCCAGTAGGAATACCACGTCCATCATCATAAATCTCGACCCACCCATCAGCGCATAATTTAACTGTGATATGATGACAATGATCAGCCATGGCTTCATCTATTGCATTATCTACTATTTCAGTAATAAGGTGATGGAGTCATCTAATATCAGTGCTACCGATATACATTCCTGGTCTTTGTCTAACTGGCTCAAGTCCTTCTAGAACCACGATATTACTACTATCATACGTTGATTGATCGCTCATAATTAATAAATTCAATAAATTAAAAATAACCAGAATATATCTGATTATTAATAATTTTTATTGTAGCTATTGAAAGGGAAGATGCTTTGAAAGAGACTAATTGTTTATAACCGTTCAAAGCATTACACCATCATTTATTCATTTGGATTGGTAAACTTTTATATTTTCTCATTCATATTGAAATTCAAACGTTGTAATACTAGTTTCAAACTCATCATTAAAATATGTTTCTTCTTTATCGGTATTTTGTTTTGAATTATTATAGGCATATAACAGTTCTATTGCTTTTTCCTTATCGTAAATTAGTTCTACTTTTTCACCCTTACTTTTTGCTTGTATAACTAGACCATGTCTAGCTGATAAGTCATAAGGATTTCATAATGGATTTTTGAGATATTCCATCGCTCCTCCAATTGCAAAAAATGATAATGCTAATGTAATTTGTAATGATCGTTTGTCTAACCAAGAAGAAATTTTGGAAGACGATTTTTTAGACGATAAATCATCAATCTTTTGAGTAGTAGCTTGATTTAATGGGTCTGAGTAATTTCTCATAATGAAGGATTAATAGGTAAATATGGTTGCCTATGGAAAGAATCTGTAAAACTGTTCTGGCAAAGGGCACTGTATTCTGATTATTTCATTATTCATATCTCTGAAACTATAACAATAGCTATGTAGTAACTGTCTGTCTATATGTTCATATTTGTGTGCAATTCTATTTGTGACTGGTGTGCCGTATTGGGTATCTCAGATGATGGGCAATCAGATGTGAGAAAGATGTGCTCTAATCTGGTGCATTCTTCAGGTTTCTAGTATGCAACGAATGAGGCTGACTTCTCATAATTCCTTATGATCGATACTATTTTCGAGATGGATTCTGGTTGTGCTATCTAATCATTTTTCGGTGTTTATGAATACATGAGCGCGACCAGAGTTACTACTGAATCATTTGAATAGTGGATTATTTATAATTATAAATCACTCATTGTCAATGGTATATCAAAGCTTGCTTAACCTCATAAGATCGAAATTTCAAGTGCTGATTGCTAGGTATTCTTTATGAATTTCGTGATCTCTAATGAGTGCATTAATGTGTTGTAGTGCGGGGTAGGTCTTCGCTGATACGAGAACTCATGAAGTGTCTTTATCTAAGCGGTAGGCAAAAGCAGGTTTGAAAGTCTCAGATCCCTCTGTTATCGTAAGTAATGCACTAGTGTTGGGTTTTGCGATCTTAACCATATAATATGCCAGTAGCTGATTCATCGTTACATCTTCAGTATGCTTATTCCCCTCATGAGCAACCACTCCTACTGGTTTATTTCGTACTAATCGATTATCATCTTCGTAAAGAATGAGTTCTGATCGGTCCAGTTTATGAATCTTCATCCACTGTTCGATGTAATGAGAATCGTCTTTTTGTTTGTATTCGCTGAGGAATTGTCCTGCGATCGCCTCATGAAAACGTACTATGTCACCGTTCGTGAGCATATAGTTTTCTGGTTTTTTTATTCAGTTTACCTTAATGAGTCATTTTCTGATTCGATGGTAGATATCCTTCAAAGTAATGTGTTCATAGGGTTTGCAAAATTTCCTGAGAAACCTATCTAATCTTTGCTTTGCATGTGAGTTGTTACAAGTAATTTCCATAAGTACTTAATCAATATAATAATGTTTTCTTCATCGTTCTATGAGTTTATTTTTGATTTCGGTAGGTTTTAACTCTAGGTTTTCTAGTTCTGTTCGAGGGATATAGTGTATCTCATATGTATTATTGCTATGGGTATTTGCGGCTTCTGGAGATCATTCTAAGGGTAATCTACGAAACTGTGAGTTTTTGTTCTTACAAATATAGATTCTGCTTATTCTATCTTCATAATGATAGTCCATAAGTTCTTCTCTAATTTCTATTTCTACTCAGGCTTCTTCCATACATTCGCGATGCAGAGCTGTTACATAATCTTCATCGTTTTCACAAGCACCTCCGATAGTGACATAATATTCTATAATCTGATCATCTCTGATTATTTTTCTATACATAAAAAGCAATCATTCATTATGAAGAATAACTCCACGTGATGCCTTCTGGCGGCTGTCTTCACTAATGTTATTCATCGGATTTGTGTAAAATATCATAAACATAACATTCCAATCATCTTGCAGCAACTACTGAACTATCTAACTGTTTCATAGTTCCTGAAGCTGCGTTTCTGGGATTCGCGAATAGTGCTTCACTATGCTCTGCTCTTTCTTTGTTTAATCTCTCAAAGGCAGACTTGGGCATTACGATCTCTCATCTAAGATGTAATGTGCCAGAAAATGAGATACGTGATGGTACTGAACTAATTTGTTTTACGTTATGAGTTATATCTTCTCAGATAAGCCCATCTCCTCTGGTGATTGCTTGTATAAACTTGCCTCATCTATAAATAAGTTCTACGCTAATACCATCGTATTTGGGTTCTACGCTACATTCTAGGTTATCTACTTCTTGTCCCATGCTATTGAGGTTCCTGAGAATGGATGTATATCGATCGTTTATATCTTCGGCATTATAAGAGTTTTCCAGAGAAAGCAGGGGAATCTTATGTTCAGCCTTTATGAAAGCATCTATCTTGGATGATTGATGTTGGAGGTTTTGGGTGGGAGAATTGCTCGAGATTCGCTCTGGGTGAAGCTTTTCGTATTCCAGTAAAAGAGCAAAATACGAATCGAATTCCTCATCGCTCATCAGACTATTATGCTCATTATAATAAGCATCCGAAGCATTCTTTATCATCTCCATAAGGTGTGCATAATCATCGAATGTAGCAACTGACGCCAGAGGAATATTATGGTTAAGCATATAAAAAAAACTATAAGATAATCTGATCCTATAGTAGTGAATTGCTACAGTGATTCAAGAGGTGGGTTTGTTTACTTTTTTACGCCATTTAATGGATTTGGTTTATTTAATTCATTAAGTTGATTTATCTTATCTGAAATATTTTTAATTAGCCCTATATGTTCTTTTTTTATTACATAATCATTTGCATTTTCTGTTCATGCATTCAAAGTTCCATATTTATTTATAATTAGTTCCGGTTCACCTTCATTATTAATCTTTATAAATGACTCTTCATTGGAATCATTTTGATTGGTTCATAAGTAAATAAATCACATCCTAGTAAATTTCACTCATGCTTCTAAAAGTAAGTTAGCTTCTTTCTCATTTAACGACCATATCTGAATCTCATCAATCGCTTTATTTTTATTTTCTTCTTCGGCGTTTGTTGTTAAGTTATCCGGATGTGTATTTTTATTAATACTTGATGTATCAAATTTTATAGATGAATTTGAAAATTCAATATTACAAATATTGCTGAAACTTGATTTACTTATCTTGTAATTATATTCTACTTCTTTAATTTTAATTTTTCAATTAAGTGTGTTTCAACTCGAAAGCTTTGAATTATCTTTCAATTCAAAATCCTTAACTGTAAAGGATATTCCTTGGTTTAAAAATCCAAGATCAGTTATATCCATTGAAGATATCTTTTTTGAAATTTCAGTATTTAATGCAGTATCGAAATCATTGTTTTCATTTACTTTATTCGATTTATTAAGTGTTTCTTGTTCCAATACTTCATACACTAATTTTCTCATCATCAATAAATTTACATAAATTAAAATACTCTATTTTATGTAAATATGTGGTGAAAGTCAAATTTTTTCTGATTATCTCATCATCTTTCTTCTACTTAGAGCTGGATCATCGAATACGAGTGAAGATAGCTATGGAGATGAGTATGCAGCAGAGGTTTATAGTGTATTGCGGGTTTGCGAATTCTGGTGGAAGGTTCAGGGATTGGATAATCTCGTGTTGGTGAGGATAGATGAGATTTTGAAGTGAAGAGTTTATCTGTAAGGGATTATTTTGCTGCATTTTATAAGATGCTATGGTTCATAGTATTCATCACATTAATCATCATAGTATTTTTCCGTCTCATCATTCTAGTTGGTTCATTTTTGGGTGTTTATAAAATACATCATTGTTATAAGTGTGAAGTGGGATCGGATTATTTTGAATAGGATCTATATATTTTTAATTTTTAAAACTTTTTCGAAGTTCTTCTTTGTAGTCTATGAGAAATTGTTTTAATTCTGATCCTAGCACTTTTGCTTTTTCGAGTATTCATGCAATTCATGATGGTTTCATTTCATTTTGAACTGGTTCTTGGATTGGAGATGTGGGAAGTGGGAATCATGGTCAGCGATTTCGTATATCTTCTCAATTTTCATCTCTTTTATCTGTAAATGGTTCAGGTTCGACTTGTCCATGACGATCTCCAAATGGAGCAATATCTTGCTTTCGATTACGTGGTTCTTTTGGCACTTTTGGTTTTTTTGGACTATATCATTCTGGTAGTCTTTTGCTCATTGGATAATTAAATAATCTAAAAAATTGAATATTTCATGTAACTTCTAATATTATAATGAAAATTATGTGATATAAGTCAATATGAAATTAATAACGATATATCAAATGCCATAAATATTGCGGGGTATGAAGAAATCGTCTCGGAAACAATGGATTCCCACCTCGTTTCGAGATGATATCTATCTACCTTTTCGGAGAACCTTTAACGTTGCGATAATGATATAAAAATCAAATAACAAAGATCGATTGCTGATGTAGTAAAGATCAAACTTAGCTTCATCTGAGAAGGGCAGTCTATCTCTACCATAAATTTGCGAATAACAGGTCATACCGGGTTTTACTGACAAGAGTCTCTTCATCCAAGGCTGATATCTATCTACTTCGAATTGCAAATGCGGTCTGGGACCTACGATGCTCATATCTCATTTGAGTATACACCGTAGA